GGTGTGTGAGGGTCTGGCTTTTTGTTAATCCCCCCCTCCCCTAAATCAGAAGGTTATCCAACGCGTGAACTGGCCACATACAGTTGTACATCTGAAAAACATTTTTCTCTATATTATTATTATGCATTACTGCATCATTCACCCAATCGCCATGAAAACTTGGGAAGCTGTTGAGTACAGCCCCGCAAAGGTTTCTGTCAGAGGCCTAACATTTGTACATATTTGAGTGGGGACTCCTAACGGAAATATGTGATTTAGCGCCCCGTGATCCTGCATAAGCGGATGAGGTTACTACTTGAATACAACTGGCGTCAGTGTCATCCTGAGCGCATCACATATGAGCAAGTTGGCCCCCACAGACAGTCGTTTAAAAGTTCCCACAACACTAGGAATAAGTCTCGCTACTACACTCGATGACTAAATCTAATTAGGTCTCGCACCAATGTTTCTTCCAGGGTAGACTGTTTTCGGGGGAGGGGAGGGGGGGGGGGGGGAGCTCTGCCGGAAGAAACAATGTGTCACACCCATCACCCGTGCAGTAATGTAACCGGTAGCTCCAAGAGCCCCGTGACTCCCCTGACACCTGGGCCGTCGCCGAGGGATTTACAGCATGCCTTGGCGTGTCTAGTTGGTAGTGTGGACAAACCCGCGCCCTAAGATCCAAGGAATGAACTGCCGACATTGTTAAAATTTAATTCAACTTCTGGAAACCAGGGCACACGGTTAGTAACGTTTTGATGAAAGCCTCAGTTTGATGTGTTGGACTAGATTTAGAAAGGGGCCAGCTCGTGTGTTGGAAAACCTCTGATTTATTCGTGAACCAGATGGAATTTTTTTTAAATTGAGAGCGAACCTTGTTTTATATATATATATATATATATATATATATATATATATATATATATATATATATATATATATATATATATATATATATATATATATATATATATATATATATATATGGGGGGCTCAAAAAAAGTTTTTGCGGGGTGGCCCATTTTTTCTAGTTCCGCCACTGGTGAAGTAGAGTTAATCTGTTTCTATAACCTCGAAATATGAAGAGACATTGTAAGCAATATGCATAACCGCCTTACTTTCTCTAACATGAATTAGGTACCTCATCTTTCTTCTTAGCTGTCGTGTGCTCTACCATTCCATTACTTTGTATGAAAAAGGATATCGCACAAGTACCGTCAGAATAATACATACACAAAGAGGTCTAGTATATTCGCTAAGAATAAAAACTTATGTCTTTGACTTCCCAACATATTCAGTGATCTGCAGACCTACGCTGCTTGTGTGTTCAAACCCGATTGTGGAACAACAGAGGTAGTGGACCATGTACATAGTTATCTAAACACGATGTTTTTACAGTTTGATGTACAGTGCTGTAAGTATATCGGTGTTACTGTAAGGATCAATACTCAAGTAGGGTATAAAAGTATTAACGTAATACATAATGGCAATATATTCATAGGCCTATAGAAATAATAAATATGTCTGTCAGTCTGTCTGTGTGTCTGTGTGTCTGTGTGTCTGTGTGTCTGTGTGTCTGTGTGTCTGTGTGTCTGTGTGTCTGTGTGTCTGTGTGTCTGTGTGTCTGTCTGTGTGTCTGTGTGTCTGTCTGTCTGTCTGTCTGTCTGTCTGTGCGTCTGTGTATCAGTGTGTCTGTCTGTCTGTCTGTCTGTCTGTCTGTCTGTCTGTCTGTCTGTCTGTCTGTCTGTCTGTCTGTCTGTCTGTCTGTCTGTCTGTCTGTCTGTCTGTCTGTCTGTCTGTCTGTCTGTCTGTCTGTCTGTCTGTCTGTCTGTCTGTCTGTCTGTCTGTCTGTCTGTCTGTCTGTCTGTCTGTCTGTCTGTCTGTCTGTCTGTCTGTCTGTCTGTCTGTCTGTCTGTCTGTCTGTCTGTCTGTCTGTCTGTCTGTCTGTCTGTCTGTCTGTCTGTCGGTCGGTCGGTCTGTCTGTCTGTCTGTCTGTCTGTGTGTCTGTCTGTCTGTCTGTCTGTCTGTCTATCTATATACATATATATATATATATATATATATATATATATATATATATATATATATATACATATATATATATATATGTAGGTATGTATGTTTAGCCTCCTTGACAAACAGGTTTCTATGTAGCTCCACTTCAGCCCAAGTTGTATTCAACTCTAGAAGAAACGAAGGAATTTGTTTGAGTACAGTAGTATGCATTGAAATCAGCGATCCAGATCGGTTGTCCTTTCTAAAAGCTTAAAATAATACACTTGAAAGAAAAATGCAATGATCAAAAGCTAGTGTCACAATGGAAGATGATTTAGGAGAGAATGTGATTAGTTGGGTATTATGTGGATTTAAAACTTCCATACGCAACTTTTTATACCAATCTATCTCAGTTTATCTTTGTAAGTTTAGTTTGTTGTATCATCTTACTGTATAGAATTAAAAGGAAGCTGTATTTATTTGATGACTATATTATTTTGCAATACATCCTTATTATATCTTCTTATTAATCTTTCATAATCACGCACTTCAATTGCTTCTTTTGGCCACATCCCATGTTAATCTTATCGCAGTAGACTTAAACAGGATTAAAAGCTCGTACAAGTATTAGAAATATATTATTTAACTTATATTTCTTTCTACAGCATTTTCAGCATCGGAACTTGTTAGCAGTAAGTATCTCTGACAAACCTATCTTATCATAGATGATCAGAATAAAGTAAAAAGTACATTTCCTTTTTAGACGAAGCGATGCATTGGGCAGATGAAGTAGAGTTCAAATGTTTCTTGAACTCGACATTTGAAAAGTCAATGTGATTAATACTAATTGAAAAAAATAGTGAAGTTCCCTTTTCGAACCTGACAGTCCATGGTGACAAGTGAAGTAGAGTCAACCTGTTTCTGTTTCCCTAACTTGAGTAGACTCCGGGACGTCCTACAGTCACAAATCAGAACCATGTTCCGAACTCCAGACCTTTGGGTTTCAGCCAAACGATCTACCATTCGACCACGCCGTACCCCACAGTATTAAAATAGTCCTCAGGATAGATGAAGTAGATTTTATCTGTTAACTGGCGTGCTACTCTTGCTGTTGAGTGGGAGTAGACAGCGGGCAGAACTGAAACTAAAGCTGCCTTCGTCCTTAATGGTAGACTGGTACACAGTGATATATAAACATAATAAAACCAAGTCTTTCTTAATTTAAAATATATTTTAAAATACTTAATATAATGTTCTAGTTATACAAAGAATATTACGTCATGACATTAAATTAGGATTTATTTGAATCAGTAAGAAATTAAAAGTAAATTCAAATATTTTATTTACATTTAATTCTCAAATATACTAACTAAATTGTACCAGTTCAATTAATGAGCTAAATATTCAAAAGTATTTTTAAAAAGTTACTGATTGTATGTAATTTTTACCATAAAACGCATTTTAATTATTTAAAAACGCCAAAACAATTGGTGTTTTCCTTATCCTGCAATGATATTTCAGATTCTCTCTAGCAAAAACGCATCACATTCCATGTAGTTACTTGGTTTCTTGAAACTATCATATCACATTCAATGTTTATATATGGTCCCATGAAACTATCATATCACATTCAATGTTTATATATGGTCCCATGAAACTATCATATCACATTCAATGTTTATATATGGTCCCATGAAACTACCATATCACTTTCATTGTTTACATATGGTCCCATGAAACTGTCATATCACATTCAATGTTTATATATGGTCCCATGACACTATCATATCACATTCAATGTTTATATATGGTCCCATGACACTATCATATCCTATTCAATGTTTATATATGGTCCCATGACACTATCATATTACACTTAATCTCGACTTGGCACAGTTAATGTTTATAATTTTTTTTACATACCTTAGATGGGCCCTTGACCAAAAACCTGGTCAGCCCAACAATAAATCCGCCACAGCTCCTACATTTACTATTCCCTATTAAAGTATTTTTTTCTATTTTTTTCTATTCCAGTGTACACAAACAGCGCAAGAATAAACATCCCTCTTCTGTCAACGTTGATGTGCCTTTTCTTTGTTATAGCGATGTTTAACCTCTGGTTCATATAACATTATATATCTTTTACTAGCATACTAGCATGTAAAAATAGTGACAATATATAATAATTGGCAAACTTGGCGAATAGTATTGGAATATTCCATAGATTTTATTCTCGTAAATTAAACTATTTAGCCTATATTATTTAAATAAAAATAATTAAAAACAGCAAACTGGTTGCAAATAGATGTTGAATAATGTGATTTCGATAATAACCCCCCCCCCCCCCAGCCTTTTTGCATCGCTTTTCATTTAGAATGAACAAAGCGATGTTTTATTTGTTCTGTTTTACATCGTTATCTCCCCTCCCTACTATACATAATCTAAAATTGACGGCGTGTTTAAAAATAGAATGAAAATATGTCAACTTAGAATTTAGTTATCCTAACAACTAATGACCTTAAGTTTCAATAAAAAATTGATCAGCACTAAAAAAAAAACAGTTTAAAATATGCCCACCACATCCCCTATGCTGCGGCATAGCGTCAATCTAAAAAGTTGAAATATTTCTACTCAACTCACCTATTCTGTAAAAATCAACAAAGGGAGCGCACACTTTCACACAATTCATTTCATGATACATTTATGACAGGATTACGTCCCTTGATTTTAACTTTCAATAAAAATTAGCGACCTTTACTGGGAAACACAGCAGGTCTACGCCATTTCGCCCTTGACATCTCTATGCATTCATTTTATATGAACTAATATTTATTCTATGCATGTAAGAACCTACCTCGTTTTAAATAGGCATAAAACGTGTGTATTTCAAACAATGCATTTATGTTATATTTTTTGTGTTATTTAATCTATAATAGTTCATTTTGTTTTTCATTTTTGTGCCATTGCGGTTGAATTTTAATAAATATTAAATGCATTATATTATATTTATTTTATTTAAAATATATTTTTTTCATTTTTAATGTGTGTTTTCTTCCTTGTATGTATTTTAAAATACGTTTTTGTTATAATTTCCATCAATTAAAGTACATACAATTTATTTTTCAAGTAACGTTTATATATGTTAGAGTATTGTGATGTTAAAAAGGGCATTAATAAAAAAAAATACAAAACGATACTGTAAGTTGAAGGAACTTACCTCCCCTAGTTAATTTTTTAATTGTCTTTCTTTGTGTGCTTTTCTAAGGTATGGGGGGGGGGGGGGAGGGGGAGGAAGGAGAAGTTGAATTTATACATAGGACAGCACAGGATGCCGCAGCCTATTACAACTACTTTGCGTTCCTAATGCTGTACACAGAGCTTCTTCAAGGCATCTCTTCGGCCCCCCCCCCCCCCCCCCCCCCGAATTTTTTTACCGCCCCCCCCCCCCCCCCCCGAACGAAATGAAATATATATAATTTATATAGAAAATATATACTTTTAACAGTGTCACCCCCCCCCCCCCCCGAAGAAGGTCTACCGCCCCCCCCCCCCGAAAATTTCAAGTGCCCCCCCCCCCCCCCGGAAAATTTCAAGTGCCCCCCCCCCCCCCCGGAGAAATAAAGTCGGGAAGAAACACTGGCTGTACACACGCTGATATAAACTACTAGGGGACATTAACTTGTAACTTTTAAGGTGTTCGTTTAAGGCTTGTTATTTCATTATTTGTGAGAAGTTTTCTCAGTAAACGCACGTTGTGTGGGAAAATTCCTGTTATTTTACTTCCGTTTTAACTATTTTGGTTATAGTGTTATCTACAAATCACCTCACATATTTATAGGGTTGTGGGCTGGTTGGTTTTACTTGTCATTTATGAACGACCCCCTAACGCAAAAAACAGGAAGTAAACTGTAATGATGGTAATAATGAAATCTAAGCTTGTATTTAACGGAATTCTAAATCGTATTCGGGTCTGGAAACTGTAATTTTTTTGTGTGCATGCAGTGGCGTCGCTAGGTCGGGTGTCACCCGGAGTGGCAGTTCGTGGTGTCACCCCCCTCCATATATATATATATATATATATATATATATATATATATATATATATATATATATATATATATATATATATATATATATATATATATATATATATATATATATATATATATATATATATATATATATATGTGTGTGTGTGTGTCGGGTATACATAGGCCTATAATTTAAATATATGCCGCATACTCGTACATATACGTGTATACGCTTTAATCACTGCAGACTTAAATAGTTAATAATGCATTTGGATGTAGCACAGTTTTCTCTGTAGTAAGCACGTTTACGCCATGGTGTCACCCCCACCCTCTTGTAATAATTGTCGATCTGTACTTAAAAGACTATTTAACATTAATTAAGCATTATTGGAACTGGCTAAAAAATCGTATTTTTTCTGTACAATTTGCAATTTTTTGCCTTGGTGTCAACCCCCCCCCCCCACCCCTAAAGGGTGTAGGATAAAAGGCCGATATCCAAAAGGCATATCCCTTCTATGTCGAGCTCAGAATACGACATAAACTCTACTTCATCTGCCTATGGTAGCATCTTATCTTGAATTGCGAATTCATTTTACCTTTTCGATCCACCATTGTCACCGATAAAAGTAAAAATATAATCAGCTGTATACTAAACAAAGATGAATCGTAGGTATCACATAACAAAAAAAATAATTTTGTTTACCCCGTTCTCTTATAACATTCGTTGTCATTTCGAGACAAACCCACCACCACTGAAACCACGACAAATATGGTTATACAACCGTTTGTGATTGTTCTAAACTGTAGAGATTAACATAAAAAGTTGAAGAGGTATGTGTAGTTAAGTGTTTGTTATAGTAGAAAACAGTAGTTATCCTTACTGAAATGACGGTATAATACAGATGAAGTAGAGATTCACCTGTTTCATTGAACTTGGCATATAAAAGATTGCTTAGTTGGTTCTATGTCTAGTAGCATTGATTACCTGTAACGTGTGTCAAGTAGGTATACACATCAGTATTGGGTGAACCTAGCGAAATACTAAAATCTCAGCCCCGGGAACCGAACTCAAGACTCCGGACTAACAGTCATACGCTTTACTTCGACCATGCTGTATCAAAACTCAATTATTGAATAACAAAAGGAAAGTCAATGTTTAACTCACTTAGCATTTTTTTATGGTCTAGACTGCATTCCTGAGCTTCAAGAATGTGAAAAACATTCCTGCTGAGCATGGTAAATCACGTCACAAAGAACGAGACCCATAAAATTTGCAGGTTCGTCCTAGTATATACAAATATTATATATATATATATATATATATATATATATATATATATATATATATATATATATATATATATATATATATATATATATATATATATATATATATATATATATATATATGTGTGTGTGTGTGTATGTGTAGGGGGGAAACTATTTATAAATTTAATATACACTGAAGTAGGTGACGGAGTCGTCTAGCGGTAGAGAGCTGGACAGCTAACCCCTGAGTCTCGAGTTCGAATCCGGGTTCAAATCAGTAGAACGTTCCTGAATCCACCCAGCTCTAATGAGTACCTAACTCACGTTAGGGAAAGTAAAGGCGGCTGGGCATAGTGCTGACCACACTATCCCTTCATATGCCGCGGTGACAGAAACAAGTGAACTCTACTTCACTTGCCCTATAAACCGTCAGGTTTGAAAATGGAATTTTTTACTTTTATATACTGAAGTAGAAAAGAATTACTAACTTTTTTTATTGTCCTCTCCTGCAGTGAAATAGAGACCTACGTTTCCTGTGCATACAAACAGGATTGTGACATAACGTCGGAACAAGAGACACAAATAATCGAAGCATTGAATTTAATAGTTGCTCAGTACGACCTACGGTGCCGTAAGTTACATTTTGAACAAAATTTAAACTTTTCTAAAAGTTAATAGTGGAAAAAAAAACAACCCGCTGTACAAAGATTTGAACTTTTGTAAATTAAAACACTCAGGGCAAAAATTCATTGGACTAAAATCCTTAGGATATAAGTCCCCTGGACTAAAACCTTCAGGAAATAAGCCCCCTAGACTAAATTACTAGGACATAAGTCCCCCATCCTCCCTGTTTGACCATAGAGCATGGACCCCTTGCAAGAAACCACAAGGATGTAAGCACTTGGGATAAAACCGGCAGGGCATAAGCTTCCTGGACGAAAAGGCTAAGAAAAAAGCCGCCAAGAGTAAAACACTAAGGTACAATCCCTCTGGATTAAAATACTAGGCCATGATTCTCAATAAATAAAACACTAATACATGCCCCTAGACTAAAACACAAGAATATAATTTCCTTTGAATAAAATACTAAGACGTAAACCTCAATGTACTTAAAGACTAGGATATTAGTTCCCTAGAATAAAATAGTAAGACGTAAACCTCAATGTACTTAAAGACTAGGATATTAGTTCCCTAGAATAAAATAGTAAGACGTAAACCTCAATGTACTTAAAGACTAGGATATTAGTTCCCTAGAATAAACTACTAAGTAAAAAGCTCTCCCTCCTCGAGTAAAACCTTTTCTGCTGAAATACCAGGACATAATCCATCTGGACAAAAATAACAGGAAAAAATTCCCCTGGAATAAAACACCAAGACATAAGCCCCCCTTCCCCCCCCATGGACCAAATGACTACAACATAAGCCCACTGTAATAAAACACCAAGACATAAGCCCCCCCCCCCCCCCCATGGACCAAATGACTAGAACATAAGCCCACTGTAATAAAACACCAAGACATAAGCCCCCACCCCCATGGACCAAATGACTAGAACATAAGCCCACTGGATTAAAACACCAGGACGTAATCACCTATAGACTAAAAGGCTTTTTGAAATCAATCTTTGGTTTTTTTTTTCATTTTCATCCTTATTAAGTTTGATCGTATTAGAGTACTGGAGTAGAAGTAGTAAGAATATGATTTAACGTCAAATGGTTCTGTTTTATTTTACAGCGTTCACAGTTTCTGGCATTATCAATAGTAAGTATACAACCCGCTCGCCTTTTGTAATGTATTGGAACATTTGTTTTGTATTACTAATGCTTAATTATTTCAACATTTCAAGATTGAATTTAAACCTTTAAATCTTGGTATTAGTCTTCTAAACCAGGGGTCTCCAAACTACGGCCCGCGGGCCGGATGCGGCCCGCGAGGTCCTCTCATCCGGCCCGCGGAGATCTTTTTGTCCACGGAAAAAACGTTTGTTGGTGATAGCTGAGGTACTTTGCCCAGAAAAATCAAAGACATGCCTGGAAAAAACTGGCCCCCGAACTGAAATTTGATAGTCAATGCGGCCCTCGGACTGAAAAGTTTGGAGACCCCTGTTCTAAACTAACAAACACACATCTATTATCTATACAGTTATTTATGCATATATATATATATATATATATATATATATATATATATATATATATATATATATATATATATATATATATATATATATGTATGTATGTATACATTTGTTTTAAACACTAATATGGATAAAAAAATGATAATCTTATGAAGTACTAATTTTTGTTAATATACTTTTTATTTTATAGGGTACAAAAACGGCGCAACAAGCAACAGTGCCCTGCCCTCAGCCTTGTTGTTGGTGGTCCTCGTCATTGTGTCTCTCAAGTTTCGAGTCTTTTAAATACTAAACATTCTAAACTTTTTATTTGTTATGTGACCATCTAAGTTTTGGACACTCTGTTTTCGAAGAAGTTTACAGGTTTCTTTCTTAAACTAAATGGCTCAGATAAACATTTTCATTATTGTTGACATATAAAAACATATTTTATTCAGGAATTTTGACTTTAAATAATATCCAAGTTAATCATAAATATTTTGAGATAAAAAAAATTAAGTATGTTAAAATATGTAGATGTAAAAAATAAATGCGAATTCAGAGAACCTCAAAGTATATTTCTATTATAAATTTGTATTTAGAATTTTAAAGCCACAAAGTAACGATGACATTAAAGTCCGAATGCGTGTTTGAATACAGTCACAGTAAACTAAACCTTAAATAAAAATTCTGCATAACTCTTCGGTACATGCGGTTACATTTAATTTTTAACTCACTTTACTCTGTTTTCGTATTTACAATCATTGACCTACTTGGCTATGCATGAATTGTAAATATCCTAAATTGTATAAATGTCATGATCTTGGCAATCTATTTTGTGGTTAACAAAGCTATACAATCTTCAAGATGTGTATGTATCTTTTGAGAGTCATACTAGTTTGATGGCGAAATTGCTTTGAACTATTAATTAAATCAATGAAGGAGAAATATGTACAATACGTTTAAATAACAAAACTTGTAATCGCATTAAAAGAGCTACAAAATGAATATGTTATACATTAGATTTTTTGTTTACTTACAAAATATCTAAAAAGGAAATATAAAACAAGATTATCTTCTGGAGATGTATACTAGTAGTTTGAATGAATAATGTCAAAACGTTTTATTTATTGCAGCAAGTAATGTAGAATATGAACATTAAATTTAAATTGCGCCTTTTTTTTCAACGAAAAGTAGTATATTTAATCAGCTTTTTGTCGTTTTCATTTAATTGAAACATGTTTGACAACTTCAAGCGGATGGGCCATAATGTAGTGTAGTATAGCACAGGACTGCTAACTCTGAATGCTTAAGTTCGATTACCGATTCAGGGTCGTAAAACAAAGCCAACGAATGAACCCAACACTGAGGGGTAGGCATACTTGACTTGGGAGAAAAGAAATGGATTGAGCTTTGAGATGTCAAGAAATATGAAATTTTGTCCGCTGACACTCACATTTTTAAAATATTAATCTTATAAAACGTCTTCCTGTTTTAGAAAGGATTGTATATGGCAGATGAAGTAAAATTCATCACTTTGTTAGCATGACACTCTCAATGTTGACATAAAAAGGTTACTTCAACTTTTTTATTTAAAAAGAAAATGCACTTGGAGATAGCAAACAAAACTGACGCTACGGAGGTTGTCGTTCCTGAAAGGTCGTCAAGACTCAGAGGGAAAGAGGGTGGGGGGGGGGGGGGATTAAAGAGGGGTGGGTTCAGATGTGTGTATGGCTGTATGTGTGTATGTTTTCGTCTGTAGAAAAAGCACACATATATGTGTTTAAATCAGTGTCGTAGGCTGGGGCGGAAAGGGGGGTTACAACCCCCCATTGACCCGTCTTAAAATTTTTTTTACTGTCATAATACATATTTTTGTAAAAACTAGTAGTGTTTAGCTGTATTACATACTAAAGTAATTATTTATATGTTTTTACATTTACAATTAAATTTTTATATTTATATTAAGATAGTTATTGTTTCCCCTAGTTTGCTTATTTGCTTGTCTTATTAACATTCTAGGAATCATAATGTCAAATTGTTTTTTTTACAAGGATTACAAAATAGATTGTGTTGCGTTCATTGTTTTTGGTTGTATTGTGTGCATATTTTGTTTATTTTTTGTTTACAGTGATACTTTTTGTTTGTTTTGCCGGCCAACATTGTGAGTTTTTTCTTATTTCTTCAGAGTGCTACTTTCAATTTATTTTACATCATAGCGACGCCATGGTATACAGCAAGTATAAATATATATATATATAATATATATATATATATATATATATATATATATATATATATATATATATATATATATATATACATATATACACATACACGCACACACACACGCACATATATATATATATATATATATATATATATATATATATATATATATATATATATATATATATATATATATATATATATATAGTGATGGAAAAAGTGTGCCCCCCCCCCAATGAGACTATCCTGGCTACGCCACTGTTTTAAATTAAATTATATATATATACAAGATACCACTCCCTTCAATAGGTATGTGTTAGCTTACACTTTCCATAGAAATAAATCATTAATTTACACACAAATCAATTGGTTTACTTTTACTTTTACAAAAAAAAAGAAATCGAGATTTCACAAATCTTAACATTTTATACCTTTCTGAGTATGAGTAACTTATTTTGTCTGTATGTCTGTTAACGGCTGTTAACTGATGCGATTTTCTTCTAACCTTGACCCAATTAGCTTAAACTCATCTGCTCAAATAATGATCACCTATACAAATAAAAAAGAACCACGTAACCTCGGAAGGTTGTTTGATTTTATTTGGGTCACAAAGCAATCCTAACGATTCGTGTGGTGAATGAATAATGTGCGCTGCGCATGCGGAAGACAGACCTATTTACCTAAGGTGTTTTCTTACTCGGCATTGGTGGAATTTCTGCTCAGAGCTCAAGTGGTAGAACTTTCATTATACATGCTTTGTGTTAGTGTCATTTGCGTTTAAAATGACAGAGAAAAAAAAATAAACCTTAGCTTTTATTGGCGCTGTGAAGCAAGTGAAAAATAGCGACATATTTCAGCTTCAAACAGACGGACATCCATAATATACAATTTTTTTTAAATTTTTGTTACACAATTTTTATAACGTAATTTATACAAGTGACGGTAAATTACAATTTATGGTGTTTTATTATCATACGTTATGTTATCGTTTTTTAAAATTATGTTGATAAAGTTTTCTTAATTGTAATTTTAAACAATTACAGCTATTTTGATAAAATGGCAGCTATGAAAGTACTGTGTCTTACCGCCTTTGTCTTGACAGCTACCATTGGATTAATTTCTGGAGGTACGTGTAAACTAGTTGGTTTCTTTGTGGCTATGAATCAGGTTAAGGATTCTATTCTTATAAAAGAATTAAACTTACTGTTTTAGTTACGAAAAAATTATTTAAAAAAAAAGAGGATTTAATTCACTAATCAATAAAACAACTAATCGCAACGCAGTTTTTTAATGACATGTAGATGAATTGCATGGTTTATTTGAGTTAGAGCTTGTCGCTGGGTCCAAATGTGAGCAAAGTTTCCTGAAAATAAGAAAATAGATTCTAGTCTGTTCCACATGCCCTAAATCTGATCAAAACGAGTTGGGCTACGGAAAGGAGGGTGGGTATAGGGCAGACCATACTCTAATTTACAATAGCTTTATAGATCAGATGGTCAGATTTCGATATTTATTTCTCTTTTGAATTATTAGCCTGATAAAATTGTTCAAGGTTTTTTTTTTTGACCTTCTACCGATAACGATGAAAATTTTCTTGCCTGTATATTTATGTGTATAGCAAACAATTATTTAAGTATTAAGTGTCATTGAAAATGGTTCAAAGAAAAATGCGCTGACGGATAACTGTGTAAAAGAAATATGCGCCTTAACAAATTAATTATATATCAATGCATTTTAGTTTTGGCATATTTCATCGAAAATTGTATAATTATGCTGCACTATACATATAGTTATTCTTTGGTAATGTCTGTAAATTCTCGATTTAAGAAAACAAAGTTATTATTGCCATTGTGTACTTTTTCTTTTGCGCAATTTAGTATTACACATTTCTCCGGTCACCAATGTAAAAAGTAAAGTTCCCTGTTTAAACCTGACGGTCTATATGGCAAGTGAAGTAGAGTTCACCTGTTTCTGTGACCTCGGCACATGAAGGGATAGTGTTGTCAGCACTATGCCCAGCCGCCTTTACTTTCCCTAACGTTAGTTAGGTACCCATCAGAGTTGGGTGGACTCAGGGTCTATTGACTTGAACCCGGATTCAAACTCGAGACTTACGGGTTAGCAGTCCAGCTCTCTACCGCTAGACCACCCCGTCCATGGTCACCAATGTAGACCATCAAAATTTACCTCGTCAAAATTTGAGACAACAAAGAAAGCTCGCTAAGCATGCACATGCATATGTACACGTACACGTACACGTACACGTACACGTACACGTACACGTACACGTACACGTACACGTACACGTACACGTACACGTAGACGTAGACGTAGACGTACACGTACACGTACACGTACACGTACACGTACACGTACACGTACACGTACACGTACACGTACACTGCTGTGTGTGTCTAAATAAACGCATGATTAAACTAAATATGAAGATTTGCAGCTAACATGTCACGTTCTGTAAAATAGAACTTAGCCGTAAAATTGTAAGATGAGAAGAAACAGTAATACGTTTTTTTCTGTGGCTAATTTTCTTTAAGAAATGTTTTGTAATGTTGTTTAATCATTGCGCAGACTGCAGTTCTGGATTTCAACAATGCCAGGAGAGTTTAATGCAAAGTATGCTATCCGTCACAAACAAAGATGAGATTTGCAGGTTCGTGTCTCAAGCTTACTTATCACTTTTAACATTCTTATATATATATATATATATATATATATATATATATATATATATATATATATATATATATATATATATATATATATATATATATATATATATGGGAACAGGGCATTACCCCCCGGACATTCCCCCGCGTCATTACCCCCAGAGTAATTACCCCCCTGTATATTACTCCCTGTCTATTAACCCCCTGTCAAGTAGGACATTACATCACGGTAATAGTTTAAGGGTTAGAGCAAGGGTTTGAGTTTGATCTAGGTATAGGGTTAGCGCTAGGGTTTGGGTTAGTGTTAGGGTTAGGGTTAAAGCTAAGGTTAGTGTTAGGATAAGAGTTATGCTTTAATAAATGTCTAGAGTTGTGTTTGGTTTTGGATTTATTTTAGGGTGAGATGAATTCTTAGGTTTTTCGTCTTCGTCTTAAGGTTAGGATTATGGTAATTTATAGGTATAGAGTTGGAGTTGGAATCAGGAATCTATCTTGGTGGATGGGGGGGGGGGGGAATAACCCCGGGGGGTAATTGACAGGGGGTATTTGACAGGGGGGTAAATACGTATGGGAGGGGGGAATGTCCGGGTGGAAATCTCTGTAGCCAAATATATATATATATATATATATATATATATATATATATATATATATATATATATATATATATATATATATATATATATATATATATATATATATATATATATATATAGGTATACATATACATATATATGTATATACAAATATTTATTTATGCATATATATATATATATATATATATATATATATATATATATATATATATATATATATATATATATATATATATATATATACATACATACATAATATATATATAAATATATATATATATATATATATATATATATACATTCTATCCTATAGTGGCATTGAGACCTTTATCGCCTGTGTATTTGAACAAGGCTGTCGCATAACGCCTGACCATGAGGCTGATCTCATCTACAAATTAAATAATGTGTTTGTTAAGCACAACCTTCGGTGCTGTAAGTTGCATTTTGTGCTATTTTTTAACATCCCTGTTTATGACTCACGGAGAAAAAAAGTGTTTTCATCCTTTAGAACACAAAACCCCTAGACAAAACAACATCAATTCATATAACCAACTTCCAAAACCCTCAAGGCATAGGCTCCTGAACTTAAACCTTCAAGGCAGTAGTGCCTAGACTTTAAACCTTCAAGGTATACACCTCTGTAATAAAAGCCTTCTCAAGGCATACATCCCAGGACTCCTACCCTCAAACCACAAGTATTGTGTATGACATGTATAGAAAAAAAAAAAAAACACTTTGTAATTAGACTTCCTTGATATTCTATTGTATTTTTTTTTTGTAATCACCCACAGCTCATCAACTAGAATAATTGCAACATATTTCCGTGTTTTTCTATCGGTCACAAGGACATTTATATAAAGAGTCACGTTTTTTCAATTATTTCCCAATTCCCCTATATACATTAGGTGTAATTTCTCAAGCGATTCGTGCAAACAGTACCAGTCAACCCTATCACACGAACTTTCCCATAGACCTAGCTTGTTGAATGTTCAGATTGATTGATGTTGTTAAAAATTTCTGTCTATTCGTTAACTCAGCGCTTTTTTAATATCATAGATGCAATTTTACTAGACAATTATTTTTAAATCCTGATCTCTAGGAATTGAATTAGAAACTTAGAACAAAGTTAAAATAATCTGACTTAAAGGACACTGTAAAATGTATCTGTTTTATATTGCAGCTTTTACAGCGTCAGACCTCATTAATAGTGAGTGCACTAACCCATTGTTTAATGTAGCATTTAGTTGTTTTTTTTAAATTGTGTTATTTGAACGTTTGCAAAGATAGATTTTAAAAATATAAAAACAAATGATAATGAACTTTTAATTTAATATACACAGTACTAGCTTATAAATTCATATAAATTAAGACATAGTTTATAGATATTGGCTACGGCTACGGCTACGGCTACGGCTACGGCTACGGCTACGGCTACGGCTACGGCTACGGCTACGGCTACGGCTACGGCTACGGCTACGGCTACGGCTACGGCTACGGCTACGGCTACGGCTACGGCTACGGCTGCGGCTGCGGCTACGGCTACGGCTACGGCTGTGGCTATGGCTATGGCTATGGCTATATATATATATATATATATATATATGTATATATATATACATATATATATATATATATATATATATATATATATATATATATATATATATATATATATATATATATATATATATATATATATGTATCTCTCATTTTTAGAGTACAAAAATGGCGCAACTAGCAGGAAAAATGGCTCAACTTGCAGCAGTGTACTACCCTCAGCTTTGATGCTGACTGTCCTCTTCTTTGTGTCTCTGAAGATGAGAATGTTTTAAATGACACGCAGACTCTTGTACATTGTGTTTATGTCATAATATATGTGTTATCGTTTAATCCGTTCGATAACTAAAATCCCTCCACACACGCATGCACGCACACACACAGATACACACAAATACCAGTGGCGGACCTGGAAAAAAAATATAATATACATATATTAACCAGTAGCGTAGCGAGGGGGGGGGGCGGGGGGGGGGGGGCGACATATGTCCCCGGGCGCCAACCATAGGGGGCGCCAAAATGGGTTGGAACAATAAATTGAAAGGGTGAGGGGGGTGCAAATCAAAAGTTTGAGGTGGGGGGGGGGGGGTGTGCAAATCGAAATTTGAAGGGGGGTGCAAATCGAAATCTCGAGGGGGTGCAAATCGAAAAGTTTGTCCCCGGGCGCCGGGAAGGGTCGCTACGCCTCTGATATTAACAGACGGTTTCACTAACTTTTAAATTATACCATTTCTTAATTTAGTTATTTTACCTATTTCATTGCAAAGTATATCCATCGTGAGACAACAAACCACACGGGCTCACGCTAATTTTTGGCCAAAGAGTATCGAGTTTTAAAAACGTCTTTTATTCGTGTGTGCCAGTCGGTCAAAACAATGTAAACACGAAAGCTTGATATGTAAAATGGTTTCCCGTGTTCATTTTGTTCTCATGTTTCTTTTTGCATTTATATTATTAATTTCGAATACATTTCTTTTTATAACTATGCCATTGTTTAGTTTGCTTTATTTTAATAATAATTAATTTTATAATAATTAAAAATATTTTAATAAGAAAATAAATCTTTTTTTAGCTTGAATAGTACACAACTATTAAAATGTGTTTTTTGTGCGCCTGTATTAGACTAATATTAAGGAGAGTGACAGGTCATGGAAGCTGTTTGAAGGTTTGCCTATCTTTCACACTACAGATATTGCCGTTTTATTTCTTCTGCGCAACAGGATGTGTATAACAATCACTCGCTGTAGTAGATCTATTTTTTACTTACTTGTATACAGAGTATAGAGGAAGTATTGTAATCGTCAAAAAATTACATGAAATTTTCACAGTCTTCATTGTTTTACACCTCAGTACTTCATTATATATGGAGTAGAGGGGACTTATTTTAATCGGGCAAAAATAATAAATGCAAATTTATCAAAATTTTAGCCTTCTATGCGTAATCGAGTCGGAAAAAACTGGGCTTTGCATTTTTGTCCATACGTCTGTATGTGTGTGTGTGTCTGTAAATACGATAACTTGAGAAACTTTACTGCTAGGTTGATGAAATTTCAAATACAACAATTATATTAAATGTGTAGTTCTGTTTCAACTTTTCAGCTATGTCTGATAACCGGTAGAGGAACGTATTCAATTTAAACAAATTTAAAAGCTTAATAACTTGAGTTCTGTTTCGGACAGATAAATGAAATTTCACATGTAAGTAAAAAATCTAATTCGCTGCCAAATATCATATTTTGAGTAATTTCCGTTGACAGGAAGTAGTAATTTAAGATTTCTCAAAAAAAAAAAAAAAAAACAAACCCACATGTAAATTTATAAAGTAAGAATACTATTTCGCACTATTATACACATATTGTATGGAGTTCACATGTGGCGCAATTATTTTTTCTACGAGATTCTATTCTATTTTACAAAGTTTAAGTAATTAAAGGTTTAATTACGGTCACTAGCAAGATTAAAGTTATGGTTAATGAAAATAACAGCCTGTTTTATTTACAGGGGTATACAATAGATGCATGGTTTAAAATATAGTTAATAGGAATTGACTAAACGAATGGCCATATACTGCATTATATCTCACATAATTGATTGTAATTGAGGCTAATGAAATTAAAAGCCAGTGCCATTTACACCTTAGGTGAAAGATATTGTCTTGATTATCGTTAAATTCAGGGGACGGAGTGGCCTAGCGGTAGAGACCAGTAAGTCTCGAGTTCGAATCCGGGTTCATGTCAGAAGACCGTCCCTGAGTCCACCCAGCTCTGATGGGTACCTAACTCAGGGTAAGTAAAGGCGGCTGGGCATAGTGCTGACCACTTTATCACTTTATATGCCGAGGTCACAGAAACAAGTGAACCCTACCTCCCTTGCCCCATAGACCGTCAGGTTTGAAAGGGAACTTTACTTACTTACTTTATTGTTAAATTCAGGCTCATTAGCCTAATTTTAGAGTCCGATTTACGATTACGTCGAGGCGAGGCCATTTAACTGGTTTTTTATATAACAGACGAAATTTACAGGTGAAAATTTATATTTTACCGCGTACATCAAAAGCTAAATTTAAATTAAAGTCGGTTCAGAATTATGGCAGTAGGACGTCCACCCAGCTCTGATGGGTACATCACTAATATTGGGGAAAGTAAAGGCTGAGTATAGTGCTGACCACGCCATCAAGAAACATATAAACTCAATTTCATCAGCGAAAGGTATCGCTAGTTCTAAAGAGGAGTTTAACTTGTTTTGTCTCCACACAAAAGTCCTTGTATTAAAGAAATAATATTCAGTATTGGGAATGTATATTTTAATCAGTAGCGCATGCTTGAAAAAACAAATAATAAAAACTGACATAAAAACGTTAATCTAAATTTATCTTTCTGTGAGGGTGGGGATTTTTAAGAAGGCGGAACGAATGAATCCAATAACACACAGTTCAGTTCCAAATACAAAGTTCTTTATTAAAATTATAAAAATCAAGTTTCTACCTAACTAGCCTGTTAAATAATATCTACTACCACTACTATTACTAACTCCACTAACACGCCCTTCCATGACCAATCCTACCACTATCTACATTCTAACTGTTCTCTACATAACTACGTCTGCTCCATTCTACAACCTAACACCTTCTGCGCTGATCTACCTAACTGCCCACGCTAACTAATCATGATCTCCGGCCTAACAGTGGCCCACGCTTCACTGGTCAGCTGACCGCCCCACGTGACCGGTCAGTTCACGTATTTTTATTGGTCTCTCTCTCTGACTAGTCTGACCAACTTGATATAGTCTGCTTCTGCTATCTACCTGAGCTCGACGCAACCTTGCGTCATCACACTTTCCATCTACGCCGAAAATAAAGTATACTTTTTGCATTGACATTGTTGTTTATTAGATGTGTACATGCCATTTAATTAGCACTGGTCCATGACAACCCCTCATCGCATCAAGTAAATAAACATCAAACCAAGTACCAGATATATATGACGAACGCCCGAGTAAACAGAACAATAAATGGCTTTCCCTAACGAGAAGAACAACAGAATGTTTTCTTAATCCTGTGTAAGCTCTGCCCCCCCCCCCCCTTAAAATATAGGCTCTCCCAATTCATGCCATCGTCACCTACTTTAAAATCACTTATATGAATCATCTCAGTGGACTCTCATCCTCCTTCCTCTTTCCTCCCCGCGAAATTCACCACAAAAGCTATTTAAGTGTTGTCATTTTAATGTGCTTATATAAACTGTCCACTTGGTCTGTTGGTTGGTTTCACTGTATTAACCGAGTCAAGAGGAAATAGCAATAGGACTAAGGGGAAAAAACTATTGAGTCCAGATCTGATTACCGTTCTTGAAATTGTTGTTTCCAAAAGCCAAGTGTTTAAATCAGTAGTTCCCAAACTTTTTTGAGTAGCCACCCTCTTTTACAAAAAGTAATTAATTAATAAGGAAATTTATAATGGCTAAAGTAAGATTTTCTTATAGGTTTTCAAAGGGAGTCATTCTTGATAACTGTTCTAATAAGATGAGTCAAATTTCATGCTATTAACTAGCCTCAACATTTGCAGTTTAGTTTTTGTTAACGCCAACCTAATGTCATTCTCAACATTTAATTTATTTCTGTTTTGTTTTTAATTGGAGAAGTGTTGAAAATCTATTCTCGCAAAGATATGTAGACACAAAAGGAACTAAAACTCGAAAGGCACACAGCAGAGTTTCTCAAACATGGCAATATTTCCAAGATTAATTTTTTATCTCCGATTTTGCAGCTATGGTCACGAAAAGAGAATATTCGTTCGTTGTGTATGTTGATGTTCCAATATATATGCTAGGAATGATACTCTCCCCAACCACACCATGCAGTTAAAGTATATCAAAAGGTCTATTTTCTCTTGCACTTTCAAGAACAACTAGATTTCATCTTTCAATTTAAAAAAAACACGATTCACAATATTTCCTTTTGGCATGCAGCGTACTGCAGTGTAGAAATGCAAAAACTTGTGAGCTTTATTCATCTTGGCACAGTTCTTTAAACAGATGGGTGTTTAGGGCTCCGGATTTAACATTATTTACGACGTTTATTAGCAATCAGTTTCTTACAGACATCTCTCCAAAGAAAGTTTACCTCCCCCCCCCCACCCAAATTAAATAGAATTGATCTAGAAAACATACTTTTACCCTTTCAAACCTGACGGTCTATAGGGAAAGTGAAGTAGAGTTCACTTGTTTCTGTGACCTCGGCATATGAAGAGATAGTGTGGTCAGCACTATGCCCAGCCGCCTTTACTTTCCCTAACGTGAGTTAGGTACCCATCAGAGTTGAGTGGATTCGAATTCGAGACTTACGGCTTAAGCAGTCCAGCTCTCTACCGCTAGGCCCATCAGATCGGCTATAATCTGAATGAATATATTTCACAAAGACAAGAAACTGGTGACACAAACTCATCTCGGTTGATCCATTAACTTGAATATTAAACAATGGTAAAAGTTTGATTTCATTCGTAATTAGATTTTTAACATCTATGGACTTAACTGCTATTATGCCACAGAATAGTATTATTTGTTGCATCTTTACTGCACTGGAATCCCCAATAAATAATCTTACCATCTTCCACATGCAAGGTTTGATGAGATTTTCTCCTGTTGTGTTGTTTTTGTTCGGCAATTTCTAATGCGACTTCATTTGATGCTTGCACGAATGCTGTGTTTCCTTGAAGAAAACTTCGCGTTCGATTAAGTCTCTGACGTTTTGCAACTAGCTTCATGCCGATGAAAGAACTCTATATCTGTTTTGGTGTGTTCCGAATGACTCGTCTCAAAATGACGTTTAAGTTTTGAGGGTTTCATAGACTCATGGCTGCCTTTTACACAGTAAGCATTACTTTTCTCTATTTTATTTCCTGTGATGTAAGCGAAGCCGAATTTCAGATATTTTTCTAAATAATTTTTTTTATTGCTAGGGTTTAGTCTACCAGTTTGCGATCCCCTAGAAAATCCAGTTTGGGAACCCATGGTTTAAATATTATGTTTAACTTTTTTTGAAAAGTTGTGTACCACTTTCGTTTTCTGTTTCAAATATCAGGATATAAAACATTAAATTATTTAAGCGATGAAATGTATACAATATCAGTAAAATAACCACACAAGTAATGCATATTTGTTTATTAGTTCACTTGATCAAAGAGAATTATCGACCTAGCTGTTCTTCAAGTGGTTTATGTTTATCATCTCAGCGTCTTTTGTAAATTAAGATAAAATTACAAATCTTATGGTAAACAATTTGCATATGGGATGTGATTTGCCTTACATGGTAAAATATAATCCGAAATTCCAAGGATGCACACAACTAAAATGTCAGGATTAGGTGTCACATGTTTTTATCTATATGTAGTCTGTCTTGTACAGGTAAGATACATTATGTAACAGTACATATAAATTATGTTTAGTTTACTATAGTATATATGATATGATGGAACGCTATAAAGGGGTAAAATATTTTGAAAATTGTGTAATTGATTTGTTAGAAATCTGAAATATGCTTGTGTTTATTAAATTATTTCGAATACAAAAGTAAACGAATTACTGTTTGTATTGCGTTTTTAAAAAAAAGAAGACTTTATAACTAGCACAAAAATTATAAACAGCAATATAAATGTCAGCTTTCTAGCTAATATAGGCCTAGTATTTCTTTTATGTAAATAGCTGAAATCTCAGTCAAGTTTTCCAAGTTCACACATAAGCTTGCCCAATAAATAAGCTTTTATTGAACTTAACTTCGTATATTCCTATTTTTGACAGACTTTTTTTTACGTGAAATTAAAAGTAAAGTAATAAAGTTCCCTTTCAGACCTAACGGTGTATAGGGCAAGTGAAGTAGAGTTCACTTGTTTCTGTGACCTCGGCATATGAAAGGATAGTGTGGTCAGTACTATGCCCAGCCGCCTTTATTTTTCCTAACATGAGTTAGGTGCCCATCAGAGTTGGGAGGACTCATTGACGGTCTACTTACGAGCAAATACTAAAAAAAAAATGTGCAGAAAAAGATGTGGAAAAATGTACTCGGAGGCCAGAAATTAATACCCAAAAAAGAAAAATCATAAACGTCACGTTTGACTTAAATATTTAGAGCCGACTAGAGGATCAGAATGAACACAAAATGCGCCTGTACGTCAGTAACTCTATGACTACATGTTCTCAGACTTGACATCAGTTGACACCATAACATATATATATATATATATATATATATATATATATATATATATATATATATATAATATATATATATATATATATATATATGTGTTTTGTTACTTTTTACTGGTTTTTATTTGACTTACATTGGAATGCATGTGTGAACTTGCTAATCTTGGAGTATTTATTTAACCCACTTCCTCTTGTCTCAGTGAGCTTAAATTTGGAACAGTGATAGATCTTGAATGACAATGCAAGAATATATAATTACTACTTAAATTAGATCACTCTTTTTTTTTTAAATCTTTTAAAATTACTTTACTATCTTATGTAATTAATTTTGTGTATAGGACTGTCATCTACAATGTACACTTTTTCTTAATGTAGATGACCGAAGGTGACGCGTTCATATCCATCAGGTTCGTGACCTTTCATAACCCCAGAGGACTGGGCAGTAATGGTCACTGTTGTGAGGGGAAGTGGGGCATTTGTCTGAGCGCTTGTGATCACAGCTTTGAGATTTGTTTGGATCAGATGGACGGGTCAGTTGACTATAGATGTTTTACACGTTATTTAAGGGGGGATGGGTCAGTTGATTACAGATGTTTTACACGTTATATAAGGGGGGATTGGTCAGTTCACGATAGATGCTTCATACGTTATATAAGGGGAATGGGTTAGTTGACTATGGACTTCTATAGATGTTTTATGCATTTTATAAGGGGGGGGGGGGGGAGATGGGTCAGTTGACTATACCTTCGCTATACATTTTATAAGGGGGGGGGGAATGGGCCAGTTGACTATAGATGTGTTATACATTTTATAAGGGGGATGGGTAAGTTGACTATCGATGCGTTATATATTTTATAGATTCGCTATGTATTTTATAAGGGGGGGGGGTCATTTGACTATCGATGAGGGGGATGGGTCAGTTCACAATAGATGCTTTATACTTTATATAAAGGGGAAAGGGTCAGTTGACCATAGATATTTTACACGTTATATAGGGCATAGGAGTGAGAACGGGTCAGTTGACTATTGATGTTAAATAAAACGGGAGGGGGGGGGGGGGGCTATTTGAGGTTTATTGGATAAGTTTTCAAAATTAAATGGGGGTGGGGGTGGGGGGTGAATGGGTCAGTTTAAAATAACTTAAGGGGGCATTGGTCATCACGCTAGAAAGGTTTTATACTATATTTGGGAATGGGGAGGTTGGGAAGACTGAATGGGTTAGTAAAGTTAGTTAACTAGAGAAGTTTCAAACGTTATGCGGGTTGCATGAGAAGGTTACTGAAACTGTGTATAATAAAATATGCGTTGTTCTTACAGCACAATAGCTAACTATAAAAGCTGCGCCTTCGGATCGACGAATTCTGGAGAAATCAGCGACAAAAACGACATCACGTTTGGAAGCAAAATTGGACGTCTGGCCAATCCTATCGTCTGGAAACTTGGTCTTTGGCCGGTAGATTCTTTTTAAGAATACAGGCATACACAATCACAAACACATATGCACACACACACGCACGCACACACACACACTCACACACACGTAACCCCACTCACGTATATATATATATATATATATATATATATATATATATATATATATATATATATATATATATATATATATATATATATATATATATATATATATATATATATATATATATATATATATGTACATATATATACACATATGTATATCGAATTTTTAATTACGTACACAAACAAATATAAATGCAAATGCAAACGCAAATAAAAATGCAAATGTAAATACAAATGCAAATGCAAATGCAAATGCAAATAGCAAATTCAAATGCAAATGCAAATAGTAAATAGCAAAAAGCAAAAAGCAAAAAGCAAAAAGCAAAAAGCAAAAAGCAAATAGCTAATAGCTAATAGCAAAAAGCAAAAAGCAAATAGCGAATATCAATTAGCAAATAGCAAATAGCAATTAGCAAATAGCGAATATCAATTAGCAAATAGCAAATAGCAAATAGCAAATAGCAAATAGCAAATAGCAAATAGCGAATAGCAAATAGCGAATAGCGAATAGCGAATAGCGAATAGCGAATAGCGAATAGCGAATAGCGAATAGCGAATAGCAAATAGCAAATAGCAAATAGCAAATAGCAAATAGCAAATAGCAAATAGCAAATAGCAAATAGCAAATAGCAAATAGCAAATAGCAAATAGCAAATAGCAAATAGCAAATAGCAAATAGCAAATAGCAAATAGCAAAAAGCAAAAAGCAAATAGCAAATAGCAAATAGCAAATAGCAAATAGCAAATAGCAAATAGCAAATAGCAAATAGCAAATAGCAAATAGCAAATAGCAAATAGCAAATAGCAAATAGCAAATAGCAAATAGCAAATAGCAAATAGCAAATAGCAAACAGCAAATAGCAAACAGCAAACAGCAAACAGCAAACAGCAAACAGCAAATAGCAAATAGCAAATAGCAAATAGCAAATAGCAAATAGCAAATAGCAAATAGCAAATAGCAAATAGCAAATAGCAAATAGCAAATAGCAAATAGCAAATAGCAAATAGCAAATAGCAAATAGCAAATAGCAAATAGCAAATAGCAAATAGCAAATAGCAAATAGCAAATAGCAAATAGCAAATAGCAAATAGCAAATAGCAAATAGCAAATAGCAAATAGCAAATAGCAAATAGCAAATAGCAAATAGCAAATAGCAAATAGCAAATAGCAAATAGCAAATAGCAAATAGCAAATAGCAAATAGCAAATAGCAAATAGCAAATAGCAAATAGCAAATAGCAAATAGCAAATAGCAAATAGCAAATAGCAAATAGCAAATAGCAAATAGCAAATAGCAAATAGCAAATAGCAAATAGCAAATAGCAAATAGCAAATAGCAAATAGCAAATAGCAAATAGCAAATAGCAAATAGCAAATAGCAAATAGCAAATAGCAAATAGCAAATAGCAAAACATAAACATAAACATAAACATAAACATAAACGTAAACGTAAACGTAAACGTAAACGTAAACGTAAACGTAAACGTAAACGTAAACGTAAACGTAAACGTAAACGTAAACGTAAACGTAAACGTAAACGTAAACGTAAACGTAAACGTAAACGTAAACGTAAACGTAAACGTAAACGTAAACGTAAACGTAAACGTAAACGTAAACGTAAACGTAAACGTAAACGTAAACGTAAACGTAAACGTAAACGTAAACGTAAACGTAAACGTAAACGTAAACGTAAACGTAAACGTAAACGTAAACGTAAACGTAAACGTAAACGTAAACGTAAACGTAAACGTAAACGTAAACGTAAACGCAAACGCAAACGCAAACGCAAACGCAAACGCAAACGCAAACGCAAACGTAAACGTAAACGTAAACGTAAACGTAAACGTAAACGTAAACGTAAACGTAAACGTAAACGTAAACGTAAACGCAAACGTAAACGCAAACGCAAACGCAAACGCAAACGCAAACGTAAACGTAAACGTAAACGTAAACGTAAACGTAAACGTAAACGTAAACGTAAACGTAAACGTAAACGTAAACGTAAACGTAAACGTAAACGTAAACGTAAACATAAACGTAAACATAAACATAAACATAAACATAAACATAAACATAAACATAAACATAAACATAAACATAAACATAAACATAAACATAAACATAAACATAAACATAAACATAAACATAAACATAAACATAAACATAAACATAAACATAAACATAAACATAAACATAAACATAAACATAAACATAAACAAACACGAACATGAACATGAACATGAACATGAACATGAACATGAACATGAACATGAACATGAACATGAACATGAACATGAACATGAACATGAACATGAACATGAACATGAACATGAACATGAACATGAACATGAACATGAACATGAACATGAACATGAACATGAACATGAACATGAACATGAACATGAACATGAACATGAACATGAACATGAACATGAACATGAACATGAACATGAACATGAACATGAACATGAACATGAACATGAACATGAACATGAACATGAACATGAATATAAACATATATATATATATATATATATATATATATATATATATATATATATATATATATATATATATATATATATATATATATATATATATATATACATATATATCATTGTTACCAGAAAGGGGGGATAAATAATAAGTTGCATATATTTGGGTTTCGGCCTCTGTGGAACCGCAACTGTTGATGTCGTTATTTTTATGCACTTCGGTGAGCGAATTTTAGCTGTGTTCCATGTCACGTGACATGGGATTATGAGTAGTTCAGTAGCGTAGCGAGGGTGGGGCGGGGGGGGGGGGACATATGTCCCTGGACGCCAAAATGGGTTGGAAAAATAAATTGAAAAGTTGGGGGGGGTGCAAATCGAAAAGTTTGTTCCCGGGCGCCGGGAGGGGTCGCTACGCTTCTGGAGTAGTTCGTGCCTGTGGCCGTGTCAGACAGACCCAAGGCTGCTGTGGACACGGAGGGTGACGTTGCCTATATTTAGATCATATAGACATAATGGAGCCTTATTTATCTTTTTCTATTTCATACAGGCAATATATTTTGAAATTATCTGTATCGTAACTTTCTTGAGTCAAGAATTTAAAAAAAATATTTAAAATAGAGTAGTAACAAACAAAGTATTTTCAGATGTTTTTACTCTAGATGTTTGGGGTTACGGGAAATTTAAGCAACCTCCTAAGGTATGTACTGATCCGCCAATGGAGGCAGTGTTGTCTTTAAAATTTAATTCAACAGGGCAGTGTTCTGCTCAAGATCAACGTGGTGGACGTCGATGACTCAAATAACAACGATCACGTGGCCTATCTCAATAGGCAGCTCAGTATACAACCCTTGGCCAACCACCAGGAAACAAAATTCTGGCTGACGAACCGTGTTAGGTGAGTCAGATAAAATAAAAATAATGCAATGAAATTACACAGTTAAAGAACGTTTAAAGACTTTCAGACGTATGGTGTTTCCTCACACATTTTTATACAAGGGGGGGGGGGGGGGCTTTAAGTTTCCAGGGAAGGGGGGGGGGGGGAACTGGTTAAAGTACATATCTTCTACATAAATTATATATCTTTTCTATTTCATTCGGTGGGTGGGGTGGTTAGTGCTTCCAGGAAAAGAACTTTAAAAAACTCAGTATGCGTACACACATAAAATTTGATCTGCCATCTATTTCTCAAGTATCTAGAATCTAAAACTTTGTTACTTTTCTATTGGGTCGTCCGTAAATGACGTCACACTTGTAGAGGTGAGGGGGTGGGTAATTTTGTAATGGTGTGTGATGAAGGGGAGTAGGGGGGGGGGGTTTAGATGGTGTGACGTCACGTTTTTGTATTTTAAAAAAGCAATGTTAGAAAACGAGTTTCAGCCGTTATTTCGCGTTTTAGAAAGCGGTTTTAATAAACTGTAATATAAAGTGATCAAAATACTCTACGTTGACAGTTTTGGAAAAATATCAATGTTTTAAGAAAAAATTAACAGCAATTTTGTGTGGGGTTGAAGGCTAAGGTGTGACGTCATTTTAGGGGTGCCTGGCTTTTTGTGACGACGTGTGACGGAGGGGAGGGGGGAGGTAAAAATCGTCAAAAAAGCTTGGCGTCATTTATGGATGACCTCTGAGGCAAGACATTAAACATTACCTCCCATTTTTTTAAACTACAAAGCTTGAACATTGCGGTACGTGTGTATTGTGGAAGGAATTTCTATGGCCTGAACTGCAGTGTGTACTGTGTTCCTAACGATGACCGAAACGGGCATTACACGTGTGATCAGCGCACTGGGGCGAAAATTTGCAATCTAGGTGATTTTTTTTTATTGCTTGCTTTTTATACGGTAAAAGATTTAAATACTATTTGATTTGAATGGTCTTAATAAATATTGGTGATCCGAGTTAGTCATTTTCAAATCAGTTTACAGAGGTAAATTAGAATATAGCAACAATTTGTTACACTTTACAAGTCCAAGTTGGATGTAACATTTACACCTTGCGTCAAAGATACTTTCTTGGTGTTTGTTAATAAATTCAGGATCTTTAGCATGTTTTTAGAGTAATTTAGGGTTACGTCTAGAAGAGGCCTTTTAGATATGCGGGCTGGAACAGCCCTGAGAATAGAGTGTTTCGGGTCTAGGTTTCGAACTCGCAAAATATGGATTTAGCAGGCGCGCGGTCTGCCGTTAGACCACGTCGTCCCCAAGTAGCTTTCACTACCAGGGTTTCATTAAATAATACACTCACGGAAGGTGAGTGGGTGGGGGGGGGGGGGGGGGAGAAGGGTACTCTGTGGGGTTTGAATTGCCCGAATAGGTACTTTTGATGACTTTAAATTTATTATCTGCACCATATCTAGGCAACGAAGGACCGAAGTGCGACATCAACACTTGTCAAAACGGGGCCATTTGTACTGATAGCATCGGCAACTATACTTGCCAGTGTGGCGTAGGTTACACAGGTAATCTTGTGTTAAATGTTCTGTACAACAGTTATCTCATACATGAAATAGTGATATCCCTTTTTTTGCAGTTATATTCATAGTACAAGATACAAAGACAAGGATGTAAGACAAACAATTCACAAACATAAACCTGACTTCATATTATTACAAGAAATCAACTTTAAAAATAAATTCACAGCAGACAGGTTCACTAACAACTCAGGGTTAACTCAAGCACACCACAGCTATAGTTCACTTATCACGGGTAGTGGGTCAACATTTTTTAACACATCAAACAAGCTCAACATAACTAACACGCACGGCGACTCTGAAGGAAAATTAGCAATAGTTACAATCGAGGGACAGTGGGGAAAACTAAGCATAGTCAACGTACATGGACCACAAAGACAGAAAATTTTATAAAAACTTGGAAAATTTATTTACAAACAGATACAACCAACATGACATTATTTCGGCCGGGGACTTTAATTTCGTGGAAGACAAATTAGACATTGCAGGACCAAAAATGACATAATTCGAAACCGCTAAACCGCAGACAAACCACACACCGACTCAATCAACAACAATAAGGGTACCATTATGAGGTTTTTTGATAAATCTTTTGAAAATATCAAGTTTTCGATTATTATTGAAACAAACAATAATAATTCAAGATCTTAGGAACGCGTTTTTTCTTCACTATGTATGGCTAACTTTATATTAAAATATGTAAAGAAAGGGATTTTAAAATCATAACAATCGCTTAGTTTTTGTCAGCTAATTATTCGTCTAATGTGAGCCCCAATAATCGTACTTCATATTTTATCTACCCGCATGTGTCATACATCGATGGAAAGCTCTAAAATGGCTGCTTGTTTTAGCATCATGACATATTTTCATCTAAAAATAGCAATTGACACAAAGACTCAACCAAACTCGAGAATTAGGGCCTAGACCATAAATTTCAAATATACGCGTTTCTATTGGTTGTTCTGGAAAATAAATATAACTTTGCGACTAAAGAATCAAAATTTGAAGCTCTTTCGCTCCCGAAGTAACATTTCCGTCACGCAGTATCCAGAATAAACAACTGGTGGCAGCCATTTTTGTACTGCGATTCGACACCGTTTTTTTCATTTACAGTTTCGAGTTTGCTTTGGTAAGTAATAATTTTGTTATAACCAAATAAATAGATGACTCATAATTTATGGAATAAGAAAATGTGTATGATTTAATGTTAAATTAGGAGGAGGATCAGATATTTGACTATATTCATCTCTGGTTCTAAATCTAGTTTTAGAATCTAGAACTATAGAAATCTAGATCAGATCTCAACACCTGTCTAACGAAATCTAGATCTAGTTGGAATCAAAATTTATTTTAGATCTAGTTACAAGGACAGCTGTGCAATAATAAACAGGGGCTTGATGTAAAGTGCATTTTGTTAGGTAGTATATTACATATTATTTTTATATCGGCTATAATAAATTAGTTGGAAGTTTTAAAATCAATAAAACATTTTTCTTCTTCTTTGATCAGGTTACACATTCACCTGGCATTGGCAAACAGAAGAGAGTAATCAAGGGATAGCAACCAAAGAATCAATTTCAGTTGATCAACCAAGGAAACGTGTTCAATTTCAACATGCAAAGCAGAACTACAAGGAAAACTATTGCTTCGCATGATGACTTTCTAAAAACCTGGATAGACTGACTCTGAAGAAGCCCTGGATATTATCGTAAGCTTAAAATGGACATGGTAAAATACAAGCAAGCATGGAATATCAGCTGTCTTTAAGATGGTGACAGGATTTTTTTTTTATATCCAGGCTAATTCAAGGAGTTATTAGTAATGCAATTGTACATACATATGTGTCTACTTTACCAGAAATCTTTTAAGTACTGAGTGATGAAAATTGGTACTATTATTATACTGCCGTATTGAGTTGTGTTTATATAAGGAAGAGAGTACAAGTAATTTCATGTTATATATTTGATCATAATCTTCTTTCTTCTTATAGACTTCTGCAAATAACTGCCGTGAAATCTACACTAGAACAGCAAGGGTCATGAAGTTGGCCGCAGTGAAAGGTCTGTGGGCGAGATTGCTGACCGATAGATGACCAACTTCAACCAATACCTAATCATCACACCACCTCTAACTCTATCCATAAGAAGCCAGTCATGGTATTGTTACAATGACATTATGCCTTTCATTGTAAAACTAGATTGACGTTCAAAACAGTAACTATAGTCAAGTCTGTGCGTGAGAAGTTGATGAATGAAATTTCTAGCCCATCTGACCCAAGCAATCAGCAATAACAAAGAAGAAATTAATAGACTCAATAGAACGGAACTTTCTAAAATACAAGAGCACAAATATAGAAGGGCACAAATCAGAAGTAGAATATAACAAATAGACTCGGAAAACCCCACACACCACACCTTAATTTTAAAACAAATCACACATCTCATAGACATCAATAACTAAGAGACAACTGACCCGGAAAAAAAAATCAATCAATACTTATAGACTACTAAAGTAACCGTCCCCGCGCGTTGCCGCGGGAATAGAAGAAAGTCCGACAAAATTTATATGAAGGATTTCATCCGTGCGTTACCAATACTATATTCTTATATTCGTGACCTTGTTTTGTAAAAGTGAGTTATTTAAATGTAAACAATGCCTGCGCTTGGATCATAAATATCGGAACACGGGTTTACCTACACTATCGCATGAAACCCTTAAGTATACATTAATCACTCTCCAAAAGAATCAGGTAGAACACACTCCGGTGACCGCCCATGTGTCAGGGACGTAGAGGGGCGCTCTCAGGCGCATAGGCGCAGCGTACGGCCCATGGCCCATAAAAACGAACAGGCGCCAACGTGCTAATAGGATAACCCGGAGTGCCAAACAGCATCCTGTTAATAATGATGCAGATTTCGTCATTCGCTTAAGTGACACAAATGAACAGGATTTTTTCTTTAACACGTAAAAACATTATTTGACGTGTTTTAAACATCAGTGTGACGGATGCAATATGTTAGCGCTACTAATGGTCTATTATTAGATGGTTGATCTCAATTTCTGATTGGATTGTCTAAAAATAGATGAAAATGGCGTTATTCGCAAAGTGACGAAACTGGATTTTTAATGGATAAAAAGAAACATCCCAGTTAATAATCTAACCTTGGTTAATTTTTCTGATTATTAAAATAAAACTTATTACATGGTCCTCAGCGGCCCATGTGAGCCTTTGAGGGCCGAAACTGAAATTTGTGTTCGCAGCCAAATCGCACCCTACCGGGGCGCCGTCGGACACGCCTGGTTTAATTTAATAAACGACTGTAACGCCCCCATCTTATCCATTGTCTAGCACACTGTTAAGAACGAACGTAGTCGCCATAGCACTCACGGGAAAGATCAGGGCGCCAAATCGCATACTGCCGGGGGGCCACCCATGCAAAATTTAATCCCTCACCACCCACCCACCCCCCTTCCACCCCAGAAACCTTCTCGGGAGTATTCATCAACTCCCTAAAGTTTTATGGCATCCGGATAAACAGTGTTGAATGACCCCTCCTCCTTTTTATCTATAAATATAATTCTCTTCTTCGAGCCGTTAGAAAACAAGCTGCAAACGCTCTCCCTACCTCCCCACCCCTACATGGTTTTAGTGAGCTGTGTTCACTCTAAATGTTTACAAGCAAAGCCAACGATTTTAAACGTAGGGGGGGGGGGGGGAGGGGGGGGGAAGGAAGGGGGGGAGGGTTATGGTCCTTAACGAGCTACTTATAGTGTTTTAAAGAAATATTTTCAGTGTCAGCGTTGGTACTGTCGAATTCACAAATTATGAATTATTGAAAATTAGAAACAACTAAATAGCGGCGTATGTTATGCCGCGGGCCGGCTCGTTCATTTTATTATCTGTAAATTAATACTCACCACCCACCCCAAGATTAGTTCCGAATATTTATTTATTTATTTAATTACTTATCTAATTTTGTAATTCACTATTGTACAAATGTAATGACATCTGTGTAAAACAACTAAGTTTGTGTGTGTGTGTGTGTGACTACTTTACTGGTCATACATAGAATGAGAGAACACACCATGGGAGCTGTACTTTTTTTTCCAACTACCCCTTGTTTTCTTTGTGTACATAAGTTACAAAATTCACTGTAAGATGTTCACTCCTTCACGCTTGGTCAGCCATCACAAGCCACCCCACCTGTCCGCATGACCTTTATCCATGATACCCTCATGACCCTTATACCTGCTCCGACGATCGTATTCCCCCCCCCCCCCCACGCACACACCCCAACACCAACTTCGATTGGTTTGTTATTTTCCTTTTCTTTCTTGTATTTTTTAATGTACAAAATGTGATGAAAACTATGTAAAATAACTATGTTTCTGACTATTCTACTATGCATATATGTTCCCACTGACAAACGTTTACAAACAAATGTTTGATGTTAATTGTTTTAGTTGAAAATGGAAGTATTTAAAAGAAAAAGAAACAAATAAAAAAAATTATATTAGATTCGAGAACGTTTAGGGCAGTGGTCGGCAACCTGCGGCTCGCGAGCCGCATGCGGCTTTTTTGATATCAAGATGCGGCTCTCCAGCTCTTTGAACAAATACTAATAATCTTAATAAAAAAATAAAATAATTTAAAATAAAAAAAATGTTAGTGGCTCTTTAAAACCAGGGAAATTTTGAAAATTGTAACTTTTGGCTCTTCCGATGCAAAAGGTTGCCGACCCCTGGTTTAGGGAGATCACTCGGGGCGGATTTTTGTGAAATCCCAAAATGCCTTTTTCTCCATATTCTGTTCACAATAATTATTCGTCAAATAACCCTTGACCTCTGTATACCACAGGTTTTATGTGAAAAGACAAATGAATATCTATTCCATACATAGCTACACAGTTTTAATACTTTAACAATAAACGAACCAATATAAGTGTTATATTAAATGTGACTGAGTTTTAATTTTTCGTGGTCAAAACATACCTTTTGAATATCATCAAAATAAAATGTATTATATTTGTGTATTTTAATTTAAATCTTTTCTTTTAAGATCGCAAGTTATTTTCATATTGCATTTTAAAATACAAACCCGTTTGACTCCCATTACTTGAAGTACACGTTATCTTATTTTAAAACAGATATATATATATATATATATATATATATATATATATATATATATATATATATATATATATATATATATACTTTTTGGCCGTGCATTTTAATCAATAAAGAATGAAGTGTTCTTCTCTAAACGTTTGAGTATATTCTTATAAGACAGCACTGGGAATAGCTTTTCCAGTCAATATTGTAAACGAAATTTCTAAAAGTGTTTTTACAAGCTCTTATTACAAGCTAATTAACTACTTCCTTTGTCGTACATTAGTCGTGCTTCTGTCAACATAGATCGAAACTGCTGAGTGAAATTTCAATCATTACTAACTGACCAATTAGTTTCAAACAACTACTGAACGTGCTGTTTAAAGAAGTCCA